TATATATATATATATATTCAAAAACAACGAGAATCTAATAAACTAATAAAAGCTAACAATCATAAATTTCGCTGTCTCAAGTTTGTATGGTTTGTCGAAGTTCCAGAGTCTTATACGTTTAAAAAGGAGGTCACTGTGTGCATTATACGGAGCAAGGTCAGTTTCTCTAAGAGCTTTTCGTAAATTGCGTTTCAGGGGTTCTAAGATTGATTTGCCTATTTACTGATAAGTGTCAGAAGAAAAGCTTTAGCATGTTACAAAATGTTTGGTTTTTCCAAACCAATTTTAACTTTTATACTACCGAAAATTTGTTTTTATCAAAGTTTTCATTTATTTTACATTAATATATTTTTTTACGCGAGGTTATTCCTGCAAGGTTTTAACACCTTTTTAAATTAAAGAAAAAAATGCTTACAAGCGAAATCAGCAAATTTGCTTAAAAAAAGATGAAAAACAGCAAAATTGGAAAATAATTATGAGTACCATGGTAATGTTTTCTCAATGCAACATTCAAATTAAAAATTTTAAATCAAAAACCTGCAATTGTGACCATTATGATCAAAATTCTCTATAGTAATTGCTTTGTTTTGTTTTTCTAACAAAGCTTTTTCCACCCGTTTTACAAATTGATTGTGCCCTGTCAAATCAATAGTTCAACGTCTTTTCTTCGGATTGAAAACACGCCACAATCATATCATCAAAAGACAATGTGGCTTAAAAACAGCTTCTCAATTTTTTTTAGATAAAATGACAATGGTAATGCCCACGGATGAGCCCTAATTTTCAAGTACGTTCATTTTAGAAAAATAATAGACATTGTTATGGCAACTTCCCGGCATCCAAAACGGGGGTTTCAAAGAAGGCTGTGTGCTCTGTGCCTACCCATGATCTCTGCACATGTTTGTGGGACGTATACATTGCCTTGCAAGGTATTAATTCTTTACCTGTAGCTGTATCCGCGGTAAGTATTGTTGAAATATAATTTATTGATATAAAAGAAGTCTTTTTCAATAATGTTCGAAATTTTGATCCCATAACCAGAAAGCGCTCGGGAAATACTTGCAGCTTTTACCATGCAAAATACCCACAAAAATTAATTAAATATTGTACGAAATGGCTGAGATATGGCCAAAATATTTAGAGGCTCTTTCTCTATCAGACTCAAATCGAGCCTCAAATCTCAAACCTCTATAACTTTTTGAAACGAGTAATCTTTAAGCAAACGACACAACTTTCACTGGGCATATTTTGGCCGATTTGTGACATTTCGTATAATTAGAAATATGTCGTAGTTTTCAATTCTGTCGTAGTAAACTGAAATATGTCAGGAAAAAACAAATACACAAGTTTGACCAAACTAAATCCATACAGGTTGTCTTTTTCACGTAAGGTAAAGTTTAAAGTTTAAAACCATTATTTTCCTCTTGTTCAATATTATGGTATTGATTGGGATATTTTCTTTTTACTCAAAACTAGACCTGGTGTCGCCCAGGCTTAACTTAACTAAAAATCTCAATTTTTATAACGATAAACATTCTTCTAAGCACACGAGTTCTTCTCTTCTGCACGTGAATGCTTCTGTTTAAGTCTGTCTATCCATTTATATGTTTTTTTTCTTGTAAACTTTTAAACACCCTACCCTTTCCCTGCTCCCAAACTATTCTATCTTGTGCTTATAAAATACAAAGGTCAATAAACTTTGTATTACCTCCCAGTCTTCCTAACTCCTCCCAGTCTTCCTAACTCCTCCCGTACTTTAACATGATCGCCATAAATAATTTTTTTTTCAGTTAATAAACATACATGAATTTTTCTACCCAGCAAGCATTTCTAAATATTCACTAATATTCTGTTTTAATCTTTTGACAGGAAGTATCTTTTGTCAGCATTTGCATCATCACTATCAGATAAACATACTCTTAATGGAAATCATTTTTTGAAGAAATTATGGTTTTAACACAAGATTATTTTCTGAGTTAGAGTTAAAGAAAAGGAAAAGTTATTATCATGGAAACAAAAAAACTTCTTGAGGCTGAAAGGTAGTTTACACGTTTTTAAATATTTTATTCTTTCGCTCACATTATAGAAGCGGACCATTTGAGCTTCGCCACCCTAAGACACAATTAACACCTTAAGAAATTTTAAAAATAATGCGGCTTGTTAAATTTCTGCCTTGGGGAGGGGTTGACCCTTTCCCTACCAAGTTATCTATTTATTTAGTTATTACGACCAAATGAAACTCGTTGGTTGTTATGCTTCAACTTTTCTAAATACAATTTATATATTATATAATAAAAGAACAAAAATTAGAGACAGATAGCTCCCCTACGAAGCCCGCTACGCGGGCTTGCCAGTGGCCCTACGGCAGGGTACATAGATTAGCCTCGGAAAAGACAAGAGGTGTATTAACCTCGATTTGAAAACAATTGGCTCCGCACAGGTCACGTGATCAAAAAAATTGCTTGCACTCTTGTGCGCATTAAATTCGCACTCCTGTGACTATCGCTAGGAAGGGGGGAGCCTCTACCCCCTTTCTATTTAAGGCTCCCCCCTTCCTAGCGATAGTCACAGGAGTGCGAATTTAATGCGCACAAGAGTGCAAGCAATTTTTTTGATCACGTGACCTGTGCGGAGCCAATTGTTTTCAAATGGAGGTTAATACACCTCTTGTCTTTTCCGAGGCTAATCTATGTACCCTGCCGTAGGGCCACTGGCAAGCCCGCGTAGCGGGCTTCGTAGGGGAGCTAGTCTTCCGTTAATTGAAAGTTGCTTCAAAACATTTGCAAGGTCTATTCGTGTTCTTCGTTTAAATATTTTAATGGTTTACCACCTAAGTAAGCCCCCCTTGCATAAGCCCCCCTCGAATTAGCCCCCTGGGGGCTTATTTATTTTTGATATTTTTGGATGGGGGCTTATTCGAGGGGGGGGGGCTTATACGAGGGGAGGGGCTTATAAAATTATTGTAGACATTAAAAAGAAATTATTAAAAGATCTCGTTTATTTTAGTAGGAATTTCTTTATGAGCTTTTAATTAATTATTACCAAAAGTATGAGTTTTTGTTGCAATTCAAGAAAATGCCAAATGAAACCTCAGATGGCAAAAATTCATCAAAATAAGGGGGTCGGTCCAATTCTAGAATTAACGGTAACAGTGGGGGCTTATTGAAATTTTTAGTTCTAGGGTGGGGGCTTAC